TGCATTCTGGGTAACTTCAGACATTTATTTACACTTGTAAGATTGAAATGATGTTTTCATTTACAGTGGGCTTATATACTAAGAGAATAACAATCATCTACTAATATTGTTATACACTTATGTTGTAAGAATTGAAAAATAAAAAAAATACATATATCCTGATTATATTTGTATGTTGTACTTTTAGCATTTTCAATACCTGTTTGCTGGGCTGGGCTTGTATTTAATAGCTGAGGAATCTGAGTTAAACATGCAGTTTGAAAGGGCACATACTGTGTCATGCCCTAAATAAGTCATGTTCTCTGTTATGATATTTCTCACCATTGAAAATGCCTTTTCACTCGATGCATTGGAATGTGGTACAACAAGCAGACAGTATAATACAACAAAGTATAACAATGACACACAAAATGAGTAAATATTTACTTTATTCTGGTTGGCACTCTGTGAAGTTGAGTTTTGTGACCCTATTCTTTTTGTTAAATTATTAAAAAGATTCAGATCGGGAAAGTTGACAGGCCTGTTACTACTGAGCTATAATCTTTACAAGTTTTAGATATTACATTATAAAGGATTTGTTCATTTTCAATTGATGCTGAAGTACTATGGTGGCAGACACCGAATAATAACAGTCCTTTGGTTGTACTAATTATTACCCGTAAAGTTTCAATACCTTCTACATATGTAAGTTTATCCAATATAACTTCATATAACTTAAGTTTTATATAAATTAAACAGCTACCACCTTTGGGTTTGGTGCAATCATTCCTCCAAACTTCATACCCATCCAGTACTAATTCAGCATTAATCAAGTCATAAGACGAACCCATGGCTCGATGATACAAATAATGTCAGGATCCAGTTCGTAAGCGTAACATTACATTTCGTCCACTTTGTTTATAATACTTTGTGCGTTGACACGAAAACAAGAAGTTTGTTACGAATTTCGTGCAAAGCTGCACGAGGGCTATCTGCGCTAGCCGTCCCTAATTTAGCAGTGAAAGACTAGAGGGAAGGCAAATAGTCAATACCACCCATCGCTAACTCTTGGGCTACTCTTTTACCAATAAATAGTGGAGTTTGACCGTCACATTATAACGTCCTCATGGCTGGAAGAGCGAGCATGTTTGGTGGAACTCGCGACCCGCAGATTGCGAGTCGAGCACCCTAACCAGCTGGCCATGCTGGTTCCCGAAAACAAGAGAGCTGTTTAATAACAGTATTAGTAGTGCTATCAGAATTTGTAAATAAAACGTTTCTACGATGATTAATAGTTTAACTTTCCACATTTACTGTGTCCTCTGACTGTCCCCAGTTAGAGTTCACAGGATCCCTTACGACAATCTACCCGTTCTTTAATACTGAGTTTTCTCACCATTTCCCCTGCGTCTTTTTAATTCAGCATGAGACTTTTAGACCAGATCACGCTTCTTTTTTTTTTTTTTTTTGTCTTTAGGCATTGTTTGTTTTTAGCTTAAAACTATACAATTAGTTATCTGCACTAAGTTCGTTTGCGGAAGTCAAACAAAGAATTTTAGTGTTCATTCCTGAAGTTAACCGCTAAGCCACAGAAAAACATCTGTACAAAACCACCAATTCCATAATATGACAAATAAATAAATGAAGGAAATGCCACCTTGAAAATGTGAAAGTTATAAACCTAAAAGCTAGTTCTGACAGGTTATGTTTTCTCCATTGTTAATAAATAAATAGTTTAATGTATTTCAGATATATTGTTAAAAAGACATAAAACACGACTGGAATTATTTTTAAATCTTTTGTGTAAGCCTAAATCAGTTGGCAACCGTCTTGTTTGCTCTAATGAATCCATAATGGCGAAACGTTGGCTTAAATTATACCAATTGTATTTTCTGGAGTACTAGGCCGTGTTTTATTTATCTTTTTAATAATTAATATAATTCTCCAGTTTTCACTACAGTCTTTAAACTATCATATTCCAAATTTACTTAGCGTACAAAATAAATGGTTAACATTGATCACAGTTGTGACTGTTAGTTGGACACAAAATGTCACTGTATTACATTTTTCACTGTGAATATTTTGACGATTTCTTATTTATACGAGGAAATAACGAGAAAAGCAGGAAACCTAAAAATTGTTGGGAGACTCACTGGTTGGAACTAAGTGTTTTGCTCAATGAAAAACAAAACAAAACTAAAAACTGTTGGTTAAAATTTGTTCTATTTATAATAATGGAAGAAATAGAAACACTACGTAATTCGTTAATGGAATATGAAGCACAGGTAAATCAAGTAGTAGTACTGTTAGTAATAAGTAGTAATACTATTAGTATTACTAACCTACATAAACGTATATATTATAAATATATAGTGACATTATAATAAACAAATTGATCAAGTTCGAGAAATATTAGCAGCGAAAGCACGATAATATTTGTATGTTCTGACAGAAGAAGATACTGGTCTTGCAAAGTTATTATTATTAGTATTAGTATCATGCCAGTGTATTTTGTTTTTACAAGTCGTTATATGTACCTATCATAAATTATTCTATTTTAGAAAAAAATCTTCAAAAAAACATTTAAAATAATAATGAAACACTGGTGTTTACTTTTACAAAGTGGTGCATTAAATTCAAAAAGTTTACAAGTATTGTGTTAACATTTAACATATAGTGATATAGGCAGTTAGAGAATAATTTGTCTCAAGTTTCAAGGCTGCCCTTTCACCCCCCCCCCCTCACCAAGAAAATTAACAACTTAACCCAATTATATTTTTCAAGAAATTATTGATTCCAAGAACAATAAGAAACAATAAAGTATCAATTCTTACAACACAAGTGTATAACAATATTAGCAGATGATTGTTATTCTCTTAGTATATAAGCCCACTGTAAATGAAAACATCATTTCAATCTTACAAGTGTAAATAAATGTCTGAAGTTACCCAGAATGCATAAAAGTGCACCTTTGTTTTAAATTTTCTGGTAGAGCATGCTACCCCCCCCCCCAAGGTGACACTACTCGCTGTTGCAGTGTCTCCACAAAAAGTCTCTAGACTTAGCATCTCTCAGTGTTGACAGGTATGTACACTGAGTGGTCACGAGTAAATAGGCACCTGAATTTTCGTCATTTAACTGATTTATG